CTCCTCAAAATTCAGAATCTCCAAATACTCAGATATCCATCATACCAATCTCGCCGACCACACATAATCAACAAATTATCAAGGATATAAAGATCTCGGTACAACAACAGCTCCCTAGCGAGTGTCGCGTTCAAACTAGCTGTACACCTTTTCAAATTTCATTTACAATTTGCATCGTGTTTCCGGGTCGTTTTCTCTCATTTCGTGCCAGTCACTCTTCCGCAACCTCTCCTCCAGCTTATCCCATTAATCTGAAATCCTCGTTGGCTTGATATAACCTTCTCTCCTCCTATTTCCTACTCTCTCTCTTTTTTTTTCGCTCGTGCACCTGTTGCCCAACGAAATCGCTTCACGAGACTGATCGACGAGGAAAAGGGACGTTATTTATTTAAAAGCACCGGCACGCGTTCGATCTACCTCGACTTTTTCATTTGTCTATAGCCATCAGCCTCGGAAAAGGTTTCGATAGGATACCGGTTAACAACCTTGTAACGAACCATTTTCCCTGCATGGATGCCAGAGCGATTTGCGGATAGGTTGCAGGAAAAATCGTTTTGTTATCTACGACCGAAGGGTTTTGAAATCGAAATGGAACAGATAGGACTTTTAGTTTTCAAAGGATTTCGATGGGAAAATTTTTTCAAATTGAGAGCACTCGAAGGTCGGAATTGACTGACTTTCAATTCGGGTGGAAGGATTTGTTGTTTGTGAACGGGTAATTGAAACGAAAGTGAAAGGAGTACTAGTGTACAATGTTTTATGTTATAGTTATATAATATAGTTATGTATCATATAACTATTATATAGTTATATAGTTTTATGATATTTAAAATAATTATAAATGAGGATTAATTACAAGTGTAAATTAATTTAGTGTTTTTATTATTGGTTTCGTATTTAAATTTTCTCGCTACTTTTATGAATGTGAAATGGCCACTAAACTGATCGACATGTTAACAAGATTGCAAATCACTAGATTTAGAAATCCCCAGATTCTTGAATCACTAGATTTACAAATCGCTAGATCCAAAAATCCCTAGATTCACAAATCCTCAGATTTCACTATTCCTTGATCCTATAATCCCTAGTTCACAAAATCCCTAGATCCTAAAATTTCCTAGATGCAGAAATCTCTAGATTCCGATATCAAAAGTTTATGAAATCCGTAGGTGTCAAAGTCCCTAGATCCCTAAAATTTCTAAATCCAAAAATCTTCAGATCTCAAAATTCCAAATTCCCTAGATCCCATAATCCCTAGATTCCAAAAATCCCTAGATCCCAAAAATTTATAGATTCCAAAAATTTCTATATCCCAACTTTCCTCAATCCAAAAATTTTCAGATCCCAAAATTCCAAATTCCCTAGATCCCAAAAATCCCTAGATCCAAAATTCCTTAAATCAAAAAATCTTTAGATCCCAAAATCCCTAGATTCCAAATATCCTAAATTCCAAAAATCCCTAGATCCAAAATTCCCTAAATCAAAAAATCTTTAGATCCCAAAATCTCTAGATTCCAAATTTCCTAAATTCCAAAAATCCCTAGATCCAAAATTCCCTAAATCCCAAAATTTTCAGATCCCAAAATCTCTAGATTCCAAATTTACTAAATTCCAAAAATCCCTAGATCAAAAATTCCCTAAATCAAAAAATCTTTAGATTCCAAATTTCCTAAATTCCAAAAATCCCTAGATCCAAAATTCCCTAAATCCCAAAATTATCAGATTCCAAAATCTCTAGATTCCAAATTTCCTAAATTCCAAAAATCCCTAGATCAAAAATTCCCTAAATCAAGAAATCTTTAGATTCCAAATTTCCTAAATTCCAAAAATCCCTAGATCGAAAATTCCCTAAATCAAAAAATCTTCAGATCCCAATATTCCTAGATTCCAAATTTCCTAAATTCCAAAAATCCCTAGATCCAAAATTCCCTAAATTCCAAAAATCCCTAGATCCAAAAATGGCCACATTAAGAAATCCCTAGATTCCCTAATTTCTTACATTTCCGAAACCCCGAAATCCCTAGATTGCAAATTCTTAGATTCCCAAGTTCCGAAATTGTAAATTCCCCAGATTTTTAAATATCCAAATTTCCTAGTTTTTAAATTAATGACCTTGACACTTTGAAATTGTGAAACAATGGAAAGGGAAACTTTGTAAAGGCATATAACACTCACGAATTGATCAAAGTTGACAATTAAGCGGAATTAATGAATTATTTGCAACTAGATTATCGACTTGAACGAATTTCATTACATCTGCAACACCACACTAATAAATACCAGCAACCGTACGAATAAGCTGTTTATAATTCATTCCACGTCATACATATTCATCGATATTATGTAATATAGGACAGCGCGTCAATATTTCGGATGATTTTATTTCGCTTTTAAATATTGCCGGTTCATCGATGGCTGCAAGTAGTTCAATGAAATATTCAGAGAGCAAAAATCCACCAGCTATTTATGAATGTTTTATTTCTGGCATTTTCATTTATTCAGGGACATCGATTTATTAACACTGAACGTTTATTTATACATCGAAAGGTGAATCCTTTATAATTCCCGCTCGGGCGAAATATTTTTATTAATATCGGATATAAATACTTTAACGTTTATGAAATAACTTCGTTTCGTTAGACTTTGAATTTATAGAAATCGACTGGGGATATGATGAATAACAAATAAACGTGAAAATATTATTAAAATAACATGTTGTTACATTTGTTATTGTGAAATATAAAATCACGTCTGAAACATTTTACCCATATTTTTGTTAATTCACTTTGCAGTTTACGTTGATGTATTTTATAGAGGGGACTGTATTGCTATATTAAATATTAGTTAATTATCTATAAATGCATCGGATTAATTAATTACTTATGAACGTTATAATTCGTTACATATTTATGATAAACAGTAATTAATTATATACAAATTCATCAAATATGAATTGATTACGAGTTAATGTATTAAACCTTAATTAATACGTTAAATATATAATGGTAATTCTATCATAGAAATGCTGCCAGTTTCATTTAATTATAATCAAATTTAATTAAAGGTAATTTAATAAAATCATCGAATATACCTATAAATTAATGTCTGAAAGATTTATTTTTGAATACAAAATGCTATTCCAGAGATTAAGAAAATATAACAGAGATATAATGGAAAATATTTTCGAAGGCAAAGATTATGAACAAAGAAAGTGATGGAGAATAGAAACTAGGAAGTTTTGGAATCAATCGTTGGCGCGAGACATTGAAAATAAAATCGATGGAGGTCTAGTGTATTCACTGACGTCAATCGACGAAATGGTGTAGGCAGATTCGAAGCTGTCAAAGTAGATATCGAGTTCTATGATCAGACAATATAAAGGGGCACACATGTTATGGAGCGGAGCTGCCACGCAAGAACAATTCTATTCGAACCTCTAAAAGCGTTTTCTGTAATCGCACCAACACAGAATCCGCGATCGCTCTTGTATAAATACACCTGATCAAACATTATCTCCATATTTTTAACATGTACCTTCGTTCGGTTCAAAACGACGAGATATTCAACAGAAATGTATGCAGAATTTATTTCTCGGTACACTTGTTAAAAATTCGCAAATTTACTAGATTAAAAATTTCAAAATAATACTACTCACAAGATTTCCGAATCCATGTAGTTCAAAATCACTAGATTTTTAAATTCCTAAATGGTAAAATCCCTAGATGCCGAAATCACTAGATTCTGAAGACCCTAGATGTCAAAATGCCTAAATTCCAAAATCCCTAGATGTTAAAATCATTATATTCCAAATTTTCTAGGTTTAGAAATACTTAGATTCTGATATCATTAGTTTGAAAAATTCCTAGTTATCAAAATCCCTAGATTCTAAAGTCCCTATATGTGAAAATCCCTAGATTCCGAAATCCCGAGATGTTACGATCCCAAAATTCCAAATTTTCTAGATTTAAAAATCCCTAAATTCTAATATTATTAGTTTGAAAAATTCTTAATTGTCAAAGTCCCTAGATTCAGAAATCTCTAGATGTCAAAATCCCTAGATTACAAATTCCCTTGATGTCAAGTCCCTGGATTCCGAAATCCCTCGAAGTAAAAATCCCTAAATTCTAAATACCCTACATTTAGAAATCACTGGATTCTGATATTACTAGTTTAAAAAATTTCTAGTTGTCAAAATCCCTAGATTCTGGAATCTCTAAATGTCAAAATCCCTAGCTTCCAAATTCCCTTGATGTGAAATTCCAAGATTCCGAAATCCCTAGATTGAGAAATTCCTAGTTGTCAAAATCCCTAGATTTCGAAATCTCTAGATGTCAAAATCCCTAGATACCAAATTCTCTTGATGTAAAATCTCTAGATTCCGAAATCCCTTGAAGTAAAAATCCCTATATTCCAAATTCCCTAGATTTAGAAATGCCTAGATTCCTGATTCCCTTATTAAGAAATACCTAAGTTCCTAATTTCCTAGATCCCAAAATCCCTAGATTACAGAAGTCCCTAGATTCCCATACCATTACATTCCGAAATCCCAAAATCCCTAAACTTGAAAATCACTAGATTCCCAAATTGCTAAATAGCCAAATCCCTAGACTTCCAAATTGCTATTGTCACAAATTTAAAATTTAAAAATCTCTAAATTGAAAAATCACTAGATTTCCTCAATTCGCCAATTCCTAAATTTCTAAATTTCTTAGTAACCAAATTGTCATCTACTTAAACTTGTAAATTTTCCATATCTCAAACCCATAAATTTCTAAAATCCCAAAATTCCAAACAGAAAAAATCCAACAGCAAGCAACATCATTACGCGTATCCTCCGGCAACGAAAACCTTGATAAAAGTTTTTGCTGCGTTTGATAGATAAAACGAGCAAGACTGTCTCTCGCACGGCGATAAAAACGAGTCAGCTTGTAACGATAACGAAGGTGTAAACAATCGTGGAAACTTGTAGCGAGCGCTCCCTAAAGAGGAGTGAAATGAAGATGAAGCTGCAAGAAACAGCACCGGCAGAGCTCAGTTGCTACAAGCAAGGGGAACGAAGGAAACAATCGGACAGAGAAACAAAGCAGGAGGTATAATTTATTACACGCGACAACTTGCTCCCCCGGGGTGGTACGGGGCGAAAAAGCTGCACGCGATAACACTGAAATTACAGTCACGATGATTAACTACAACTACGATGTACGACTATAGTCTGACAGGAATAAAAACTTGCAGATTTTCACTGTTCAAAAAATGAATTAGAGATCACGCTACGATCGTTTTTATCGCGTTCCTTCGCTCACCACAAGATGAGCTCTGGAAATTCAGCCGATTAAATCGAACAGATATTCCAGACTTCATATTTTCGACAAAGTGTGCATCAGTCGCGTCAATTTGAGAAATACAAAAATATTAGCTTCTTCGGTAGAACTCTTCTTATATGGCACAAATATAAGAAGAGGCTAATTTTTTCGCAACACAGAACAGAGTAGAAATATTTATTGACTTATTAAATTTCCAAGTACCTAAAATTTCTGATCATGAAATTATATCTGATGAAATGGATCAAAAAAGAATACCTTCCCTCTAGAAATCACTGTCTTGATTTCCCCCAGATAACAAGTTTAAAAAAGCTTAATAAAAAAATGTAGTGGTGTATTATGCGAGATTTTGTATACGCGACCGCGATGTCACAATGAACACTGTTAACACACATTCCGGATCGGTACTTAACGAAGTCGAAATGGAAGAAAGTCGGGCGAGCTTCGAATAAATTGTAAAGCGTGTTGCGCTTTAATCGACAGGCGGTTGCATCTCTCGGGACAGAAGCGTCGTGTGGGAAGCGAGAAGAAACGATGCCTGTCGGCAACGATTTTATCCTATTGATTTCGCGCGACCCACGCGAGAAGAGAGTACGACCGAGATGGAAGACCTTGACATCAATATGTGGCACAACATCCACCTCTGCTTCTGCCCCCACTCCTCGCCTAGTACCCCCTCCACCGTATCCCCCACTCTGCCCGCTTTACCCCCACTCCTCACTGTCTACTCCCCACCAGGCGACTTCAGGCGACCACGTGACGCGAGCCGAAGCGCACGGGAGTAGAAATCGGACGAGGTCGGCTATTGTCGTAAATACTCGTCCGTCTCGAGCTCCTAGAAACATCTGGCCCGGATGGCCGGACGTAAGTTACTGGCGTAATATGGGGCGAGCTGTGAAATATCCCTGCTCGAAGCTCGCCTATGACTACGTATATTTAAATAATTACTGCCACCCTCTTTGCAGCGCTTCCTATTTGCAACCCTTCAGTAATTAACACGTTTCGTGTAACTTCTTGCGGGGTTAATTGAGGGAATGCTGGGGAAGATTTGAAAGCGTGGTGATGGGAAAAATAGGGTGGAATGCAATACTGGTATCTAATGTAATTCAGCGTGACAGAATGAAAGGTTCTTCTTAATTATTGATTTTTCTAAATTTGAAATAATAGGGTAGCATGTTAATGTGTAAGGCAATGAGTGTTGTACAAAGAAATAATTTTACAGACATCATTCTTTAACGTAATTACTATATTGTTGTATTAATATTGTTATTATTATAACGACATTAAATACTGTTATAACGTTAATTAATAGTATAATCTAAATTATTGACTACTGACAATTTTTGCATTTGGAAATTATCAATTTATTGATAGTTTATTAAATATCTAAATTATCACGTACCTAAATATCTAAATCACCAAATTACCAGTTCATTAATATTTCAAACTATCACGCTCTAAAATTACCAAATCCAAAAATGGGAAGCTTAAATATTACCAATTTATCTGAACTATCAATTTACCAAGTAATCATTCTTGTGCTCTGTGATTAACAAAGTTATTAATCTAGCAATCTATCAAGATACCAATCTTGCAATCTAGCAGTTTCGTAATCTATCAATGAACCAATCTATCAATTTATCAGACTTTAGTCATCTACTAATTTATGAATTTATTAATTTAACAATTTACTAGTTTACCAATTTACTAAACTATCATCTTTTTACATTATCGGTTTATTAAATTATTAATCTGTTATTCGATCATTCTAACAATTTGTCAATCTATCATTTATCAATCTATCAATCGATGATTCTGTCATTATGTCAATTTATCAATTGATCAATCTATTAATCTATCATTGTATCAATCTATCAGTTTATTAGACTATCAATCTATCAAATCTATTAAATTTATTAATTTATCAGTCTATCAGTCTATCAATCTGTCAGTCTGTCAACCTGTCAATCTATCAATCTATCAGTTTATTAGTTTATCAGTCTATCAATCTATCAAGCTATCAAGCTATTAAGCTATCAATCTATAAAATCTATTAAATCTATTAATTTATCAGTCCACCAATCTGTCAGTCTATCAACCTGTCAATCTATCAAACCATCAACCTATCAGTCCATCAATCTATCAATCCATCAATCTATCAGTCCATCAATCTATCAGTCCATCAATCTATCAGTCTATCAATACATCAATCCATCAATCCATCAATCTGTTAATATATCAATCCATCAACCTATCAATCCATCAATCCATCAATCTATCAACCTATCAATCCATCAATCTATCAACCCACCTATCTATCAATCTATCAATCCATCAATACATCAATCCATCAATCCATCAATCTGTTAATATATCAATCCATCAATCTATCAATCCATCAATCCATTAATCGATCAACCTATCAATCTATCAATCTATCAACCCACCAATCTGTCAATCCATCAATCTATCAACCCACCAATCTATCAATCCATCAATACATCAATCCATTAATACATCAATCCATCAATACATCAATCCATCAATCTGTTAATATATCAATCCATCAATCTATCAATCCATCAATCCATTAATCGATCAACCTATCAATCTATCAATCTATCAACCCACCAATCTGTCAATCCATCAATCTATCAACCCACCAATCTATCAATCCATCAATACATCAATCCATTAATACATCAATCCATCAATACATCAATCCATCAATCCATCAATCTGTTAATATATCAATCCATCAATCTATCAATCCACCAATCCATCAACCTATCAATCCATCAATCCACCAATCCATCAACCTATCAATCCATCAATCTATCAACTCACCAATCTATCAATCCACCAATCCATCAATCTATCAACCCACCAATCTATCAATCCATCCATCTACCAATTTGTCAACTTATCAATCTCCCAATTTTTCAATCTACCAAACTATCAAGTTACTAATCTCTTAATTTCCTAATTTACCAATTTACAGACTTATCAATTTACCAATTCACCAAATTCCCACACGTATTCTTAAATACCCCAAGTTCCAAATTCTTAAAAGCCTAATTAACCAAACTCCCAAATTAAAAAATTTGAGAATCTTCAAATTTACAGAAACCCAAATTAAAAAATGACTGCCTTCACAAATTCTACAGTTTCCAAATTTCTAAATTCACATGTCAATGTAAAAATTCATATGTCTATGTAAAAATTTACACGTCTAAAAATAAAAGATCGAAAGTAATTAAATTTTGAAAAGTTTCTCTCCAGTTATTATAGTGTCAGCATTTTTGGAAGTGGATCCTTAACAGGTCAATTATGTACGAGATCAGACATGGCGATCTTTGGATAATAAATGACGGTCATTAATGATGATATCTAAGAAGCTGTATCGTTAGAGGATGAGCATCGAATTTCCCGTCTAAATTTGCTACTTCGAATCCATGCAACACGGTTGGATGATTTTAAACTACCACTTTAGCGTTCAAGGTAATTTATGGAAACCACATCAAAGGCTGGAAGCACAAAAACGTTTGTGTGACATAATGCTCTTTCGTGGTTGAACGTCGTTTAATCGCTTATTCAATATATGAGAGAGTAGTCCTAGATAATGAAACAAAAATTTTAACCTTTACTTTCTACCTTCTATTTTGTTCTTCAGTAATTGTTTTAAGTAATTGAGGAGGAATTTAACTGAACATTAAGGGAACTGTTCATTTTTATTTATTCGTTGGTGATTTTTTATACTAACTGAATGTGTATTTTAAAATTTCAAATGGATATAACAAATATCAAATTTTATATATTTAGAGAATTTTAGATGTTTCTAAATTTTTAAATTGTGCAGTGGAGATCTAATTTTTAGAATTTTATGTTCTCAAAATTTCAAATGATTGGTACTAAAATTTTCAAATTCTTAAATTTCCAAATTTCTGTTTCAGAATGTTAAGTTTTAAAATCTTAAATTACCAAATTTTCTGGTTTCAGAATTCCAAGAGCTTAATTCTAAATTTTGCAAATTCTTAAATTTCCAAATTTGAAACTTGATATTTTCAAAGTGTTCAAGTTTCAAAATGTCTAGTTTCAAATTTCCAAGTTTCCAAGTTTCTTAAATTTCCAAATTCCCAAGTTTCAAATTCTCAAACTTCCAAATTTTCAAGTTTGAAAATATCAAGTTTCAAATTTTTAAATTTCCAAGCTTTCAAGTTTCAAATTTTTATTTTTCCAAATTCCCAAGTTTCAAACTCTCAATTTTCCAAATTTGCAAGTTTCAAATTCCAAAATTTCCAAATTTGCAAGTTTCCAAATATCAAGTGTCTAATTTTTTAATTTCCAAGTTTTCAAGTTTCAAAATGTCAAGTGTTAAATTTTTATTTTTCCAAATTCCCAAGTTTCAAATTCTTAATTTTCCAAATTTGCAAGTTTCAAATTCCAAAATTTCCAAATTTGCAAGTTCCCAAATATCAAGTATTAAATTAAAAAATTTCCAAGTTTTCAAGTTTCAAAATGTCTAGTTTAAAATTCTTATATTTCCAAATCTGCAAGTTTGAAAATATCAAGTTTCTAATTTTTATATTTCCAAGTTTTCAAGTTTCAAGTTTTTAGTTGTCCAAATTTCCAAGTTTCAAATTCTTAAATTTTCAAATTTGCAAGTTTCAAAATATCAAGTGTCTAATTTTTAAATTTCCAAACTTGCAAGTTTCAGAATTTGAAGTTTCACATTTCTTGATTTCCAAGTTTCAAAATTTCAAAAGCTC